GGTCCTGGAGCTGGGGTACCGGCTACGTGGGGCCGGAGTCTTCTCCAGGCAGGGAGCGGAGCCACGTCGGTGTCCCAGAGCTAGAGGGAGGGGTACACGTCCAGGCGGGAGGGGGGTGGGGCCTCACGCACCTGGAACTGCACGTAGTCCCAGCTCTCCTCCGCCGCCGTCTGCTCCGGGTTGGCGCGGTAGTTTTGGATCGTCTCCTGCACGATGTCCTTCACTCTCCGCTCCAGCTGAGAGGCCGAGAGTGAGGCTGGACCCCCACCCCCCTCCCCATTCCATCTGCCCGGACCCAGTCCAGCTATTCTCCGGCTGTCTCGGCCCCAGGGGTCCCTGAGCATCTTTATGCTGGCGACGGTTCCTCACTGAGCATCTTTATGTTGGCGACGGTTCCTTACTGAATGTCTGGCAATGTCCTTGCTTCTCAAAATCTCTCTGCTCGTTTTTATCGTCAGCCTTTCTGTTTCTCTCGCGATCTCCTACGATCTCATCATTAGGTCTCTATTCTCTTCCTCGGAGACTCTGTGTCTCCGCGCGTTTTCTCTCTCTTTTTCTGTTTGTTTCCCTTTGGAGCTCTGTCTCGCTATGTGCGTCTTCTGTCAGCGTCGGTCTTTCTCTGCCTCTCCCTGTCTCTATCTCCCTCTTTATGTCTGTCAGTCTCTATCTTTTCTGTCTTCGTGTCTGTTTCTCTCTCTTCCTCTGCCCGTCTCTGATACTTCTCTTGACGTCAGTCCCTGTCTGCCTTTGTTCCCGTCTCTTTCCAACCCCCACCCCACGTCCACCCGCTATCCATCCGCCACAGGAGAAAGGTGGAGAAGGCAAGCTCACCCGGATCCGCTGAGTGGAAATGAGGATCCCCAGGGTGATCTGCGTGACAAACAGGAGCAGCAGTATCCCAAAATACTGGGGGGGCAGAGTGGAGAGGTCAGGCCGAGCCCCTCCCCAGGATGCAAGGGTTCTATCTGAGGTGGGATGTGGGTGGTCCTGGGGTGGAGAGCGGACAGCATACTCACCAGGCCCAGGAGGCAGCGGAGCTCCTTCAGGGCCCCTACACAGCCCAGGAGGGCCAGGCCCATGGTGAGGATTCCTGAGACGGCCAGGGCCTTGGACCAGATCTGCAGGGGCATGAAGGACAAGCCTGGGGGAGGTGAGAGCAGACATTGGGCCCCGTGTGTACAGCTCCAGGCAGCCCCATTCCCTACCCCTGCAGCCTCTAAAATTGGGAGCAGTATCCTGGGGGTCTCTTTCTCCATTATGGCACCCCGTGCTCTGGGTCTCTGTCTCCCCACCCCACCCTGAGTCTCTGTGCCTCTCCTTCTGGAATTCTCTCCTCTGTCTCTCCCTCTTGTCTCTCAGCCTCTCTTTCTTCCTTCAGGTCCTCCTCACTCCCAACAGCTTCAGCCCCGCCACATCCGTGACATTGGATCAGTCACTTTAACCTCTCTGCCGCCTAGGGGATAATTATATCTATTTCCTGGAGGGGTTTCGAGGGACACCCAGGAGTCATGTGTTCAACCCAGTCCTCGACACAGGCAAACACTTCTTAATTACGAGCCGTTAAGAGTTTGACTATAACCCCATTATTTTCTACTGTTAGTATTAGTGTTATATCTGCTCTTGTACTTCCTTACTGTATAACATCCAGTAAGTGACTTCCCCTCTCTGAACCTCAAGAGAAGGGAAGGTTTGTGGGAGGATCTGATGAGCATCCGCACGAGATCTGACACATAGGAAGTACCTGAGAAATGGCTGTTATTATTACTAGTGGTATGCACAACTCGTTTGTCAGAGGAAGACACTGAGGCTCAGAGAGACACAGCAGTGGCGAATGGTACAGCAGAGCTTGGGACCTGTCTAGGGAGCTGGGCACCGTGGGACTCCCTGGGACAAGGGAGACACCAGGAGGCCACTTGCCGGGAGTCTGGGTCCATGCCTGCTCCAGGAAGGCCCTCCCCGACTGCCCCGGCCCCCTCACCCACAAATGACACGAAGCTGGTCTTGTCCATGAGTATCCAGATACCGAAGCAAAAGATCAGACTGCCTAGTACCTGGGGAGAGGAGATGAGAATACAGTGATGGGTGAGTGGGGATTTGAAGGGTGGGGTGGCTGCGGCAGGGGCTGGGGCCGGGGGGGCGGCTGGGGAGCCATGAGGCAACTCACGAAAAAGAAGAGATTGAAAACGAAGAGGAAGTACTTGATGAGGCTGAGGCAGCTGTCTTGGGCCGACATCTTTGCCTAGAGGGGTGAGTGACCAGAAGAGGAGTTGGCACTGAGGGAGACAGGCAGAAAGGAGCTGTGAGAGAAAGAGAGAAAGGAAGAACACAGAGAAAGAGGAAGTTCCAGGGGCGGAGTCTCGCCCCCTCCCTCTACACACGAGGTGGCTTTCTCC